TATATATGTATATTTTCAAAACTGAAAGTCTTGGAGGATACACAGCAAATGTCTATAACTATGTGAATGTTGGAATTCCCTAACCAATTGTAAGCGTGGCTTTTTCTTTTTGTAATAGAAAACAAATGAATCGTATAAAGTAGCTTAACACTGAACCATGTTAACACACCTATATACCCATCTTATATCCCACTTCACAACCTATTGATGGCTTGTTCTTACTCAAGCTTACACTTCATCATATGATAGGTGCCTAATTAATATTGCTGAATGAACACAATTGGTGATTGGTGATTAAATGGGCAGAAGAAAACTTATGTTAAGGAGGTGGGGAAGGGGAGTGAGGTTATATCCCGCCACATGTACAGAATGGGAGCAAGAATAAAAGAGCAAATAAGTCCACAGGGCTTTTCAAGAAAAAGAAAAGAAAAGGTGAAGTCTAACACTTACCCCAAGATCCTGAAGAGGATGGCGCAGTCAAAGAAACGGCAGAGAGAGCGGCAAGGCTTCGATCTAGCCTTGAAAGAGGAAAACCATGCTGGAGGGGAAGAACAAGGGGAGGAGAGGCGGCAATGGCATGGGTGAGAAATGAGTATACACCCGAATTACAGCCGTCCCAAAGGAGGGAGAGGAGGCTCACAGGTGAGACATCCATCCCGGGTTGTGTGCACTCAAGATCACTGCAGAAAATTCCTCTAAGATTCAAACATTTGTAAAGTGAAGGTAATACGAAAACAGAAGTACCTTTATATGAAAACTTAAAGTGGGGAGCAAATAAAAAAGGAAAAGAAGATAATCTTATAAGATTCCACTGACCAAAAACTAAGCGGCTTCCTACCAGAGACCCCTGCATTAGATCCCATATTCCAATGGTGGCCTGGTCCTAGAATGAACTCTCTGGGTTCCAGTCAGGACTATCTGTCTTGCCACTTGTCTACTAACCTTAGGAGAACCGTGCATTTTTTTGTGTCCCCTTGCTTTGGGGTACAGAAGCAGCCCACAGTATCCCAATATCAAGCTGCTCTCTTTCAAGGGCTGCTGATTTCATGTAACTAAGGATCAGTACAAACTGCCTTGGTTTTCTGTTTGTAACATCAGCACTTCTCCCCTTTTATTGGAAGCCCAAGTTACACTCTTCCTACTGGAGCCCAAGGGTTGAAAGGAATCATAAAAACCGGCCAATTCACCACAGTGAGCTCCCTCTGAAACTTCACGCCTGCCAGGAAAGGTCACAGTGGAATTCTGTTCATAGATGCTTTTATCCACCACTCCATAGGTGATGCCAATTAATCATAGCCACTCCTTTCCAACAACCTGTCCTAAGAGCAGACAGGCTACTGACTGTTACAGCTAACCAAGGCTGACCGAAAGATACATTAGGAGAAACAATTGAACCTTTGGGTAAACAGGAATTAAAATGTATGGTTTTTGCCTGGCTGGCGTGGCTCCATGGTTAAGCGTAGACCTATGAACCAGGAGGTCACAATTACATTCTAGGTCAGATCACATGCCCAGGTTGCAGGCTGGATCCCCAGTCGGGAAAGTGCAGAAGGCAGCCAATCAATGATTCTCTCTCATCATTGATGTTTCTCTCTCTCTCTCTCTCTCTCTCTCTCTCTCTCTCTCTCTCTCTCTCTCTCTCTCCCTCTCCCTCTCCTTTTCCCTCTCCCTCTCCCTCTCCCTCTCCCTCTCCCTCTCCCTCTCCCTCTCCCTCTCCCTTCCTTTCTGAAATCAATAACATTAAAAAAATAATAAAATGTATGGTTTTCCTTTGTTATTACAGGAGCATTTAAGGAAATTCTAAAACTTTGATCCTAATTATAATAATTTGGTTTGCTATTACACCAGGAGTATGCAGTATGATATTTGTATACTTATTTAGTGGTTCCTATATTTTGTCTTGTTAATTCTCCTATTGCTCTAAGGTAGGTAGGGAAAGCTACCGTATTTCCATTACCAATGATGTAACTGGGTCAAAGAAATTAATAACTTGTCCAAATGGGCTGTAAAAGGTATAAACAGGGCTAGAAAGCAGAAGTCTTTGACTCCTAGATCAGTATTTTTTCCTACTGAACATTACTCATTCTGATATTTTTCATTTAAATAAAGAAGCTATTAACTAAGGAATACAGTACTCATACATGCAAAATATGGATGAATCTCAGAAACTTTATACTAAGTTAAAGAAGCCAGGCACGGAAGAACACATATTACATGGTTCTTATTATATGAAATGTCCAGACGGTAAATCTATAGAGACAGAAAGTAGATTAATGGTTGGGTGGCAGGGGGCAGATAAATAACAGAGACACTGTTAATGACAGTGAGTTCTGTTCTTAGGTGACAGAAATGCTCTAAAATTACATCATGGTGATGGTTATATAACTATAAATATACTAAAATCACTGAATTATATACTTAAAATGGGCGAATTTTATGATACTTAAATTATTTCTCATTAAAGCTATTTTTTAAAATTCAATAAAGATGAAAAAATATTATAGGCAAAATAATGTCATTAAAATATCTGCATATTACTTATTATACCAAAGAGCATACTGGGGGGAAAAACATTGAAGTTTTTTTCACTTGGAATAAATTTGAAAGTTGGTCAAATAAGTTTCTGGACAAATATTAATGCTGAAGTAATTTATCTGAATTCTGTCTTCCAATATTTGTGACTGCTGACAAAAGTAAAGGACACTTTATTCTATGAGGTGGAAGGAAACCATTTAAGTGGACTGATTTGTGGGTCACAGTGACCTCTGAGTGGAATATTGTCAACTGAGATAAATTGTGCAATTTGGAGGTTATATTAGTGTGACCTGAACATAAAATTACAAAACGTATGTAAATAAACCTTTAAAAGTAAATTTAGTCTTTAAATTTTATTTCATGTTTATTTTCCTATGAAAAAGGATTACATTTTGGCATTAAGAGTTTAACTGATATCGACAGTCTATTATTTACTCCTAAACTAGTATTAAACCATATGCACCAGAGTTATCACTTGTACTTAAGTTTTTAAGTGTCTATATTTCAAAGGATAAATAAAGAGAAAGTGTGGGGAAAACCAAATTAAAAGTATTTTATATAGAAAATTAATGATCATAAAGACTATATACCTGAATCAAAGTTGAAATTGTTCAAGGTTGATTTAAAATTTAAAAAAAAGAACATTTATTTAACTTCGGAAATGAGACAATTATATCAGAATTAGAATCAGAATTACAGTGTATTAAAGCCTAAAGGGGTCTCCAAAGACTGTAAATACAGTGTATTATAGTCCAACAAATCAGTTGCCTAGGTGTGAACACATTACCCATCTAAGTAGCATGTCAGAATCATCTGGCTAATGTATGTAGGGTCATCACCTTCTAATTCTTGGCCTAGAAAGCTTTCAATTAGTACCACATTATTGGGGGCAGAGGCTGGAAGACATAAAAGAGGTACACATATGTAGCTTAAAATAGAGGAAGATATTTATTCTAAAAGTGAATTCTAAAAAATAACAGGTATGGGGATAAAATATAAATATAAAATAGTATATAAAATATTAGAACAACTTTAAAAATGTATTTATAAGAAAACACAATGATAATATAGTATTCAGCATAAGCTTAAAGTTTCAGGGTATAAAGATTATATTTCTCCAAACTCATTTTACTAGGCCACCATTACTCTGATACCAACCAGAGAAGGATACTACAAGAAAAGAATGGGCCAATATCACTGATGAACACAGACAGAAAAATCCTCAATAAAATACTAGCAAACAGGGATATTTGTTCCAGGGTGCAAGGATGGTTCAACATCCCTAAATCAACCAATGTGCTCTACCACATTAATAAAATGAAAAATAAAAATTATATGATCATCTTCATAAATGCAAAAAAAAAGCGCTTGACACAATGCAAATTCATTTATGATAAAAAATTCTCATCAAAGTTGTTGTTGAGAGAATGTACCTCAGCATAACAAGGGCCAAGGAGCCAAGGAGATGAGCATAGGTGTTGGTTTGCTTTTACTCCCTGCCATTTACAAGCTGGGGGGGGGGGGGGGGATGCAGACAGGCATGTTACCTTTCTGGGCCTAAATTCTCTCTTCTGTAAGACATGATACTTACACTGGCTTTCCATGGTCACTGTGAGAATTGACAGAATTATCTTATATACAGTGCTAGCATGGTGACTAGTACACGTTAGGTCCTTAAAAATGTTCTTATGGTTAGTCTAGAGCTGTGACGGCGGACCTATGACATGCGTGTCAGAGGTGACACGCGAACCCATTTTTTTGGTTGATTTTTCTTTGTTAAATGGCATTTAAATATATAAAATAAATATCAAAAATATGAGTGTTTGTTTTACTATGGTTGCAAATATCAAAAAATTTCTATATGTGACACGGCACCAGAGTTAAGTTAGGGTTTTACAAAATGCTGACATGCCGAGCTCAAAAGGTTTGCCATCACTGGTCTAGAGGCTAACCAAAAAGACATTTTTTAATTATCTGGCTCCAATCACTTGATATTTGGAACACCTCCATTCATTGCTAATAGCTTAGTTTTGCTAAACCACTGCTTTTATCATATCATGCTCATGATTATCCATTCTCAGTGATTCTACACTGCCTTCAGGAAAAGATGCATGCTCCATAGCCTTACTGCCAAGACATCCATTCCTCTGAGGTAGAGAGAAACAAGGTGCCCCAAACACAATTTTAATCTTTTCCTTTGGGAAAATGGAGTGCCTGAAAACTTGGATTCACTTTGTAAACAGCATATGTTGTATTTTCCTTCAGTGCGCTAAGCCACTGATCCACTGGGATAATGACACACTAAAGTAAATTCACTTTGTTTTCCTGAAGTCCTAAAACATCTTTAATATCCCCACTTGCCTTACCACTCTAAATAGACTAGGAAGGAAGGAATGACAGTGGACATTGATCACAGACAGCTATTGGCATAGTTACTAATAATTAGGCATATTTGCAACACAAGATAATAAAAAGATAATTTTATTGTGATTTTAAGAGAAATACAAATTTAGACATTTATTATGGACAGTTGCTAACATACACACACACACAAAAAAAATCTTTTACCTAGAACATCTTTTTGTAAGTCATGGCATCTGGTTTGCAGGTTCACTTCCTGTTGTTTAGACGCCTCAATCTGCTGAGACCTCAGAATGGCTGCATCTGACAACAACTTCAGGTTTTTCATTTCCTCTTCTAAGCATACCTTATTTCTGTGGGACACCGCCAGACTTTTATTTAGTACCTCTATTTCTGTAAAGAAAATTCAGAGTTTACAAACAGGCAACACTGAATTATAATGTTCAAAAAGTGTCTATTTTCTTTTAGAAAGTTAAAATTAATATTTGAAAGCCAAGATGACTTTTTTCTGAAAGCATAATGACACCAAATCCAAAGCTTTTGTGGTTATTCTGAAAAAGAAAAACAATTGTGTAGCTAAACTATGCATTATACCTTTTAGGTTGTTCAGGATTTTTTTTTTTTTTTGTCTTTAAATTCTACTAAATGGCAATTTGGCCTGCTTTTTAAATACTCACATAAATGAGTAACATATCTGTGTAATGTTCTGGATTTTACTGAAATTAAATTGTTTTCTTGGCAACATGATTCAGAAAGGTAAATTTAAATGTGCTAGCATGAGCTGGCTGGATGGCATTTCTAGGAGAGTAACTAGGATACATCTATACAAGTTGGTAAACTGATGAACAGAGAGGATCCAGAGACATGGAAGCATGGAACAGAGTGCAGAATCTCAGAGGGAAGGTGGGGGAGGGTGGCTGGGTGGGAGTTAATCAGCCAAAGACCTTGCATGTATAGATGCATAACCCATGGACACAGACAATTAGGTGGTGAAAGTCTGGGGTGAGGGGTGGGGTCAGAGACATATGTAATACTTTCAACAATAAAGAATTTTTTTTAAAAAGCAAATTTTGAAAAAAGATAGCAAGGGTGGAAAGGAATAAAAGGATGCAATGTCCAAAACTAATGAATTTATGGACATAAAGAATTAGTTAATATATTGTAAAGATTTTCACAATACTCTATCCCCTCAAAATGAGACCAGAATTTCATCATAGCAATCATTTGTCATTCTCCTATCTACTTAGATCAATAAAAATAGGCCTTCACAGCATTATGTAGATTTAAATGTACTAATTTCATATAATTTCATGAGAAACGCATGGAGCATGTTATCCTTCAGAATGATAATTTATTATCAAGCTATCTTTTCATCAGCCTATTTAACAATGCTGACTTAAATCACAGTATTAAGATATACAAACACACACAATAATGATAAAGTACTACAAAATTTGTACAACCACAATTAATTGAAATGATGAATATGTGAAAATCTGGACAGTCTGCTTTTCCAGAGAGTTCATTTGGCATTCCTTTCCTTGCTTAGGTCATCTGGGCCACATGATGGGTGTAACGTGTGATAAGATGTCCAAGGAGGCTGGCTTGGTTTATTTGGTTGTAGAGCCATTACAGCAAAGATAGCAGCCCCAAGGGCCAGTGGGGACCAGGAGTAGAGATCAATGGGACAGACCCGCAGCAGGGAACATGGCCAGGAAATGCTGACAGGAGAAGTAAGGCAGTATGCTGGAACAGGGAGCAGAGGCCAGAGCACTATGTAAATGAAAGGAGGGGGATGAGTACAGTCAGGAACATGGTCCAAGGAGAGAGAAGCAAAGTGTCTTTCTGTGTGGAAAACGTTCGTCCGGAAGACACAGTGGCATGTAAGACAGACTAGGTCAGTGATGGCGAACCGATGACACGCGTGTCAGAGGTGACACGCAAACTCATTTTTTTTGGTTGATTTTTCTTTGTTAAATGGCATTTAAATATATAAAATAAATATCAAAAATATAAATCTTTGTTTTACTATGGTAGCAAATATCAAAAAATTTCTGTATGCGACACGGCACCAGAGTTAAGTTAGGGTTTTTCAAGATGCTGACACGCCGAGCTCAAAAGGTTCGCCGTCACCAGACTAGGCCATGAGCACAAAGGGTCTGGCACCTTCTGCACTTTTCATTCTTGCTCATAATGGAAAACTGGAGAAATAAATTGGCAGGAGCCATTGGGGTCTACCATATTCCAGTATTTACATAAAATATTTTTCCTACGAACAGTTATATGCTTCTAAAAACTTATAGATGCACACACATTTGTGTGAGAAAAACTAACATACTAGTACATAGAGCTTTAGAAAGAAAGAATGTTGTAATTTTTCTTCAGATCTGAAAAGTCTTCCTGCGTATTTTTATAGCCATAAAGGTGTCGTCTTGTGACTAACTTGTCTGTACTGTACTCTAACCATCTATGCTTGAGTCAGCATGACACTGCAGAGGGCCACACGCTGCCAGAACGATGCCGCTCAGGCTAGCAGGCTGACTGTTCGTGGGCACGACCGTTTGGCTCTAAACTAACTACTCGTGTCAATATGACTTTCTGTCTGACATTAAAAGAATAAGAATCTGCAATGCAGATTCATTTGCCAAATGTATTCCAACACATGGGGAAGTACAGCAAGATTTCAAAACTAACAAGAGCTTCCATGTTTCTAACATGGAATTAAGAGAGTAAACTCAAGGGAGGTGAATTAACTCACCCACGGCGAACCACATGTCCCTGTGGCAATCTGGTGTCAAACAGTCAATCCTACCTTTGTCATTAATACAATTTCATGCTTGTCAGTCATGTGTCCCAATTTGGGGTTCAGAAATTATGATCTCCACCTGACCAACCTATTCCAGTCATTGTTCCCACCTTGTGCTTTCCTTGTTTTAGGACCACCCTCTGTATCTGTCTGAATTTAGTTATTAAAATTTAAAAAGATATTGGTCATATACAAACTCATTTCTTGAAGGCATATATCATGTGACAAAATTAGGAAACTGAAGTTCTATGGTTAAAATTTCTTTTTTCTGACATTGCACTATATAAAAATTTTAAAACATACAGAAAATTGGGAAGAATTATACATGAACACGAATATACACACCATGTAGATTCTTCAATTAACATTTTACTATGTTTGCTTTCTCACATAGCTACCCATCTATCCATCTATCATATTTTATGTATTTCAATATAAATTGAGACCTCAGTATACTTTACTCCTAAATACTTCATTCAGCATGCATATCAATAATTATCACTCAATATATAAATTCCTTATTTTTGAGTATAATTTACCTACAAAGAAATACACAAATCTCAAATGTAAAGTTTTTAACAAATGCACCCACTGTGTAACCCAAACCCCTATCAAATAGAGAGCAACACCATCATAGCAGAAAGTGCCCTGGTGCCCCTTTTCCAGTCAACCCTCCACTCTAAGATAATTAATGTTCTGATTTATCTTCCTCTATAGAATGGTTTTGCCTAGTCTAGAACAGCCTATAAATGGAATCATACAATATGTGTTATTTGTGTAAGGCTAACTTTCAGGAAGTACAATATTTTTTAGATTTATCCAAGTTAACTCTATTATCAGCAATTCATTCTACAGTTCATCTTTTAAATTTTCTTTATTGATTAAAATATTATGTATGTGTCCTTATCTCCCCACCTCCCCCCCCTGCCCCAGCTCATGCTCTCCACCCCCACCCCCGGAGTCTGTGTCCATTGGTTATGGTTATATGCATGCATACAAGTCCTTTGATTGATTGCTCCTCCTTACCTCCACCCTCCCCTACTTCCCCTCTGAGGCTTGACGGTCTGATCGATGCTTCTCTCTCTCTGGATCTGTTTTTGTTCATCAGTTTATATTGTTCATTATATTCCTCAAATGAGTGAGATCATGTGATATTTATCTTTCTCTGACTGGCTTATTTCGCTTAGCATAATGCTCTCCAGTTTTTTGAATATTTTATCTGTCTGTGACTTACCATTCATTTTCTTAATGGCGTGTTTGATGAGCAGAAGTTTTAAATTTTGATGAAGTTTAACTTATCAATCTTTATTCTTCTGTAGCTCTTCATTCTATGTCCTATCCAAATAACTTCTATTGACTATCAATTTATGAAAACATTTTCCTGTTTCTTATAATTTTAGCTTTTGTACTTAATTATGTGATTTATGTTGAATTAATTTTTACCTACTATGTGATGTAGGGATTAAGGTATATTTTCCCATATGGGTGTTCAATTGTTACAGCACAATTTAGTGATAGACTTTCTTTTTCCCATTGGATTGTTTGGTGCCTTTGTTAAAAGTGAAGTAATCATATAAATAGGGGCCATAATCTGCCATCAGCATCCTATATCAGAGTGGTAAATTTCTCATAACCCATGAATCTGCACTGACACATTATGATCACCCAAAATCCACAGTTTACATTGATATTCACTCTTGCTGTTGTACATTGTATGGGTTTTGACAAATGTATAATGACATGTATCTACCATTATAGTATCATACAAAATATTCACTGCCCTAAAAATCCTTTGTGATTCATTGCCCTAAAAATCCTTTTTAGGTCTGAGGGAAAATTATAGCGCTCTTTCTTTCTAAAGTTTTATGTACTTCATTACAATCTAACTATTCATCCTCCCCTCAAACCCTGGCAATTACTGATCCCTTTTCCATTTCCATAGTTTTGCCTTTTCCAGAATGTCATTTAGTTGGAATCTTATGGTACAGACTTTCAGACTGGCTTCTTTCACTTAGGAATATGCCTTCTCTCAATTTTTGACATTTTCACCATATGTGCCTCATTTGGGTCATTCCACAGTATTTTGGGATAGTTATTTTGTCCCAAATTTATCATTGTTATCTGTGGGAAGGCTGACCTAATATAAGATACTCAGCTATTAACAGAAGAAAAAGTTTTAAAATGCAAATCAGTACATTTAACAGAAATAAACAGACTTCTGACCACAGCTCAAGAATAGATGTATCACAGCTTATCTTAGACCAGCCTATATTTACTGAATTTCAGGGTTTCAATCGATCATAATGACCATCTAGTCTGTCAGCCAATAACAAGTTTAAAAGTTCATCATAAGTCCCATCACATAAAATGCAGTATCAGTATTTCATTACTCACTATGTACTACTTACATAGAAAAAAGACAATTACATTATGTATGTAACAAACCTGTCAAGGCTGTTTTACTTATGTATTTAATTTGAAGAAAAACTTCTCCTTTCAGTGAAGTCCAGTTTTGAAAATGGTCATATATTTCATTTTTAATGCTGGTTATTTCCCTTTTAGTAAAAGTAAGTAATGAAAGAGTCTT